CCAGTTTGACAATAAATTTCATACTAGGAAAAAAAAAAAAAAGAATCTCATAGATTCTAAGTTCCTCTAAACAATTTTTTAATTGATATGCCAATTCTATAACAAAAATCTATCCTTTCAAATTACATAGGTCAGGATTTTAGTATATTTAGAAAGTTATATATCCATTGCCAGTAATTCCAGAGGTCCTGTGCATTTTTATCAGTGACCTAGATGATGTCACAGAGAGCTTGCAAAATCAAATCTGACGGCTGACACTAACTCTGTCCCTAGGGAAAGAGCCTGGCACCCAGGGAGGGTTGGGGCACATGTTGGCAGAGAAAGGGAAGAAGGAATAAGAGTCTTAACTGGTTCTACAATTAGAGGACGCCAGGCCACAGCCATGGGCATTCAGGCTCCAATCACCCTGCGGTGTCCAGGATGCGGCCCCCACTGCACCACCTGGGGACCCAGGGAGGGGGTGGCATATGCGGAAGTGTGGGGACGGCTCGCTCTTCTGCCCCTCGCCCAGCAGGGCCATCCGACACTGGCTGGATGACCACGGCATTCTTTTCTTTTTCCTTACAAATCTGCTTTGCATATGGAGTCAATTAACCATTCTCAGACCTCACTTAACGAAACAGATTAAGTTGGAGAACGGCTCTCTTGTCTCCCCGGCTGCAAGGGCAGCGTGCGACGGAAAGACAGTGCCTGCATTCGCTGTCCTGCCCTGTTAGGAGGTCCGGTTCTGGAGCGTGCTGTGTCTACACAGACTTGTAGCACCCCGGGCCAGGGCCCATCAGGAACCAGGAGCTCCGGCCTTTCCCTTCGATTTAGTTCCGTTGGGGGTGGTGACTGCCATAAGCACCACCCTCTTGCCTCTGTCTCTAGGGAGCTTTGTGGCTCGGCTTCTGGCTCCCGCACCTATTCCGCCGTGCCTTTCCCGTTCCTTCCCTCCCGATATCCTCCGGTCTCCCTTCCAAATCCCCCTTGTGTCTCACAGGCTACTTCAACGCCCACCTCCTCCAGGAAGCACTCCTCAGTCACCTCCTGCTGGCTCCTTTCTTTGGACGCTCGGATTCTACATGCAGTCTGGTGGCTTCAACAGCCAAAGAGGGTTGCGCAAGCCCCTGGAGAGCAGGGGCCAAGCCTGACACTTCTCTGGTGTTCTCTGGAGCACGGGATGTGGCACAGAGCGCCCCTCCATCAATCCCAGTAGGAGAGGCAGGTACTGCTTCACTGGGGCATTCAGGGTGATGTGCCACCCAGGCCCCCCTTCAGGAACGGGGCACTCAACCCCCTCGGCTGCTGGACGTGCCGGAGCAGACACCGCCCCCTGCCCCGAGCTGTCAGCCCCTATCGAGACTGCCGTGGGTGATAAGAGCAGCCAGCCTAAAGTTGTGGCAATTCTATCCAACGACCAGCGGACAGGGGTATACAGACCTGATCCTTCACTCCGTCTTGGGACAGCTCTGAATCACCTCAACTTCAGCGCCCCCCCATAGGGCCAGAACTCCCCACCCAGACTCAGCGTTTCCCTCCGCCCAATCTTGCTCCCTTCCCTTCCTGTCTACCACCATTGATCCAAAGGACCCTCCTCCGTTTCCTGGGCAGACCCTGACAGTTGTTCATTGCCCCAGTCTGTTCATCTCTGTAAACGCAGCAGGGTGGAGGAGGTGCGGAGAAAATCCTGCGCCCCCGGCAGGTGAGACCTCACTCAAGGTCAGCAGCGTGGGCAAGACTCAGCCCTCTGGGAGCCCGCTCCTCTGCCTGCACCCGTGGCCAGGGGTGGGTCGCCTGGGAGGCAGGGAGGGGAAGCTGGCAGGCCCTCCTCCAGGCAGCAGGTGGCCAACGTGGGTGGGGACAGGGCACCTGAGGCATGTTGCTCTTTGAGGAACGCTTGAAGTGCTCATTTAGTCCGTTCATAGCATGAAATGCATAATTTTTTCTGAAATCAGCAAACATCTTTGAGTAGCGTCCCCAAAGAAGCAAGTGGTTACTAGTTGTTTTAAGTTTGGGGAACATTTTTAAGGGGAAAAAAAAAAAAAAAACATGAGCCGTTCTGGAGCTTTCTGCAAAATGAGGACAAGACATTCGCAACTCAACTGTAATCACAGAGCGCCTCGCAGCAGCCCATGGAGTGTGGGAGCAGAGTCCACAGACAGCTGCGCTGAAGGGACCCTCCCTCCGTGTCTGCCGGGGGAAGCGGATGCAGGAGAAGGAAACTGGTCCTGGAGAGCATGCAGGGCAAAGCTCCCCGGGCTCACGAGGGAGATCACGGGTGACGGCCCACCCTCGCTGCCGCCAGCTCCCCACCTTTCCTTACAGTGGTTCCCACGTACCTCGGACCCAAGAGGGGGCTGGTGCTAAGACTTTCCAGGGGCCTTGCAAGGATTAGATCGTTCAAGCCTCCCGCTTAGTAGACCCATTTTACAGAAGACGAAGTAGGGGCACGAAACAACTGCCCAGGTCACAGAAGGAGGGAACGGAGGAGGCGGAATGCCCATCCGGTGTCGAATTCCGGGGCGCGCGCCTCAGACTCCCACAACTGGAAGTGACCAGCAGCAGGGGCACAGGCCACATCGTGTCCCGCGGGAGCTGGGGTAGAACGCAGACGTCCCGCTCTAATCTGCAGGGCGCCACACAATCCACCTGGCGCTCCCTGCCATCCTGACCCGCAGATGGGCCCTCTGAGGGTCAAGACGTTTACTCCTGGAGTCCGTGTGTGGTCTAGCTGAACACCCTCTTCCATTCCGGCTAGCTCCCTCTGGTTTCGGTCCCTGTGAACGTGAGGCAGCTGCTCCGGGCCCTCCGTGTAAATCTCTCATGACTTTATTGGCATGCATGCTCTTCCCCTGCTTCGTCCCGTCAGCCTCTCCTCCCAGGACATACTTTCCATCCCTTTAATCATCTTTATTGCCTCGCTTTGGACCCTGTCCCGGGTCCACATCCTTTGCGAGGTGTGCTGACCTAACCCAGACGTTTGTTAACACGAGTGGGGCTCAGCGGAAGGTCGGCTTCCCAGCGTGTGTGTGCCACTCTCCTCTTCCTACGTTCCCGGATCACGCTGCTCTCCGGAGGCCTGCCACTGTCG